TTCTCACATTTTCCTAAACCCTCTTTCAGCACCTGAAGCACGAGTAATAGAAGCGAATAACAACCAGCTTCCATTGTAAGCAACACAGAGAACACGAAGTCTGAGTGGCCAGAACCCTAGTATTGAACTCCCTTCACCACCACTTCATAAATGCAAGTTATACACTCTAGTTTTTTGCTCCCATATCGGTTACCAGCAAGTTATGTTGTGTCTCACATTCTTCCCTCAGTTTGCTGCAGAAGGTGTTTGCTGCTGGCAAGCTGGGCCTAGTACTGACAACCTGATCCTCAGTTCTTGGTACACTGAAACATACTGCCTGGCAATGTGACCCTTACTTTGAAAACAAAGTCTGGAGAGTGACATAAAACGAACTTCTTAGAAATTAGAAGTATACATCGTCTACAAACTGAGGACACAGTGTTTTTAATCTAAGTTGCTAGCTTTCAGTATCAGGTTGAGTCAAAACTGACTTCTCTCACTGAACTCATAAGTAAACATTGTGATTGCCACTTGCTTCAGTTCTTAAGAACGTATCAAGAAAAAAAGTCACAAAAGTTCAGCAGTAAGACAGCAGGAAGCTTACTCAAATACTCCAAGCTTTCAAGACTGTAAATATCCAATAACTTCATTCTTGCGTACTGCTATCCCCATACACTCCCTTCTCCCATTGCCAGTAGATCAAAATTAAAACATCCTCATTATGTAAAATATAACATACTTAATTTGAGTAAATTTTAAACCTTGTTGCAAAACTACTGAAAGTGTTAATATCTCAAACAGGAAGAGAGAAGAATTACTCTCCTTTGAAGGTTTTTTTTTAATGTCATATCAATGTAGAATTGGCAACTGTAAAGAAAAACTGCCATTAACTAAATCTAAGTTCCAGGAAAGAAGGCAAATTCCTTATCAACTGGTCAACTCATTCTGTTGGAAAGAAGAAAGTAAAGCATATTTTGTGTCTTCATGTTCCGCTTCTGCTGCAGCCCACCGGTTACCTACGCAAATATTTCAAAGTTCAACTCAAGGAAAACAGAAAAAAAAATATTTATGTGAATCCTTAAATAATATTTTTGAATTATATAAAGAAGGTTAAAGACATTATGATTCTGCCAAATAAGCAGTGTATGCGGATAACACATTAAAGCAGTTCAGACTGAAGATACATTCCCTCAAATACATTCCCAACCAAAGCTTTCCCAAGCTCACATCTGGAGTTTGTTTTTTTTTCTTGTTGTTGCTGGTATCAGTAAAACTGTATCAGTAATACAGTTCTGGTACAGCAGGAACTCTACACTCCATTCAGTCTTTCTCTTTTGATGCTAAAAGCTCTTTACAGGTGAAAAGGATAAAGCTGTTGTCCTATCACATTTTGACAAACTGTCTTAAGCAGTTAGTTTCATTAACAGGAAAGGAGGAGATTTTTTATAAAGCTATATAAAACACAGCCAAAAAGCTATTTTAAAGCAATTGTGTCCAACAGCAAAAAAATCTGCATTTTTTATTTGTAGCACTGTTTCTCCCAAGAGAGAACAGATGCCTATGGTCAGAGATACAAGTTCTGTGAATACACTTGACAAGTTGACTTTGTTTTAAATCCAGCTCAAAATGGAATGTTTCAAATCATGAAAGGGTTTAAAAGCTGCACATCAACGTTATTTAATGTTAGACACACACTAATTTTTATTAAGCATTACACTAGAACTACTTTGGTATAAAAATACTTTATTTTAAAACTATGAAAGTTATAAAAATATGTAGTTAAAACTTTCTACTCACAGAATGTTTGCTATATTAACATTAGTGATTTGTTTCTCCTAACGAATCTGAATTTTATTCAAAAGGTTTACAAGACATTATTACTATAATTTTAAAAACCCAGCATTACAGGGAGCTGTACTAATTGTGATGTTTTATCAGTATTCATTTAACTTCTATATTTTTAATGAAGGCAGCAAAAACAACTATTTTCTGATGATACAGAATTTCTTATTTCTTGAAGCGTTTCTGTGGTTGACCACTTCTTCATTAGTTACCTGCAGCATGGCACCTTCCTGCCAAAGAAAAAAAAAGTGTATCTGAAGATGTTTATCACATATGTCTAAACCCAATTACCAATAGGGGAACTTCAGCCATTTTTTTTTTTTAAAGTATAAGCAGTTCACTGGTGCGTCTAACACAAAAAGGAACAGGACTTTTGTTAGCTGAGTCCACATTCTTCAGTGTGTAGCCTTTTTTTAAAGGCAACAGAACTTTGAAATTAGGGCATTTTTTGATTGCTTTTTTTTTGGGGGGGGTGGGTTTTGTTGATTTTTATTTAAAAGCCATTTCTAGTAGAGTATGCCACCCTTACTCTGAATAACTCATTACTTGATGAATTTTCATTAATTTGAGATGCAAACATTCAATGAAGTGAGAGTAAGGCTGACTGAATTTGGCACTAAGGTTTATTAGCTGCAAGAACTATAAAAAATGGTGGAAACCTCAACGTTCTAGCCAAATTCCAATTTATATAATTACATTATACACTTATGAAATACCACCTGCAGTTTCATTTGAAGTTTTCACTTCCCCTCCTAAAGAACTGCTTATGCAGTTGTTAAAAGAATGGACGACACATCCCTTTCACAGAGGCAGATGTATTCTGTGGTGCAATTTTTTTTCCTTACACGTAAACAGTCTACAGTTACTTGCGAACCTTCAGGATGAAATGTGTTATATAAAGAGATTACAGTAGACAAGACACATAACAACATAGTTCACTTTCAACAGCACAGAACTACCTTCATTGCATTACCTTGCAACCACCATAATGCATAGACTCCCAAGAAAAAATAAAATGCTGCAGGATGCAAAAATAAAGTTGTATGATTTAATTAACTTGTGACCTACCATTTTAACTACCAACACCAGGGATGGAACCCTTGCAAAGCTTTACTAATGGACACTTGCAGGTCTCATTTGTTCAACTGTAGCAGTGTACAGTGGCAGCAGTCTATGCTTGTCCAGGGTTCATATCATAGCTAGATTCCAGTAGGAAAAAAATACGTTAAGTAGCTGAAATTGACAAAAATGTGCTTATAAAAAATTTAATAATACAAGAAAACAGGATTCACAAATTTCTTTTCAATTGGTAATTGTTAATTCATTGCTATGTTAAACTACATAACGATAATCACTATACTGAAAGAATACTGTCAAACAATATTAGTTTCTTGTTTTTGGAACATTAAGAAAGGAAAAGTAAATAAGATCTTACCTAAAGAAGTTTAACTGAAGCTTAGAACTATTTTGCTCTACACCCCTCAGCCTTCGTTGGCATCCTTATAAACTACTGTAGTTAAAGCTTTGCAGAAATACAGCGCAGCTTTTTAAGACTGGCTGAACTTAGTGACGTTTTCAAGAGTTCTCTGGTACTAGACCTGTGTCCCTGGAAGAGTACCTCGCTGGGGATATTTCCTTTCCTTGCCATTGAAGAAGCAGCATCTAAAAAATCTAAAAAGGTGTTTCTCCTTGCAGAGATATCCCTTAAGTTATCTAGATATTTTAAAACCTGATCATTAACAGACAACATACTTTTTTCTGACCAGCATTTAATTTTACACGTACAACAATAGCTTTATATTATTTGTGGGACCTTATACTACCCACTCCTTGCCTTATTTTACAATATTAAAAAAAAAATCTAAAATTACACAGTATTTCCTTTAGAATTATTTTATTAAATCATAAATGTACAACAGCTTCTTAACTCTACACACGCACTTAAATTTTTAAAAGGAAAACGTTATGTCTTATTACACCATGATCCTGGCTAATAGCTTTTCGAAACTTTGAGAAAAATCTTAAAAAAGGTTTCACATGTCACCTGAAACTTACAAATTTAACATTATCAAAGGAATGCTTCTACACTTACAAAGACCACTAGAAAGAAACAACAATTAAAAAGCTAAGAAACTGTCTCAAAGGCATTTTTACAATCCTTCCTCCACAGTAAGGTAATGTTATTAAATAATCCAAATCCATTCACAAAATGGCTCTCTGCATCTGCTCTGGTGTCTTCTGCCATATCACTGCATACTTATGCATGACTGAGATAAGTGTTTCCTTAACATTGTTATTTCGATAACCTGAAGCTGTTCTGTTACCTCTGGGCTCTCATCCTCTCCTATTTATACAGTGAAGCCTGTTTCAACAGAAGTAAAGAGTAAAAAAATAGGTTATGAAATTATTCATCTAACCATTTTTTAAAGGAAAGATAATATGATCCTAAAAAGCTTTTAACTCCTGCAGCTACTCTCAAGAATCACTGCAATTTTAACACTTAGAAACATACTTACCCATGGCATTCTTGCAGAAACTCAATAACGGCTCCTCCCTCCATAACCACCACTTCCACCACTGCCCCCTGGACCATAGTTCCCTGCAGAAAAACAGAATAGTTTCATCAGTACACTTTTTACATCTAGGAATGCTTTTGATTACCGTGTGAAGATTAACATCTGCTTTACTTCCAGAGACTGCATACACAACAAAGATTTTAACATTTTGCTGTCTTCCTCTAAATAACCCCCAAGAGCTACATGCTTCAATCTTGTAACATTCAACAGTGCCACATGTAATTTAATGCACTGTACTGTCTTGAGCCTGCAAGGGCTGACTTTAGTTGCACACTAAACCTTACAAGAAAGGGCTTTGTGTTTCAGTTTCCATTTCACAAGCTTTACACACCATATTAAATAGCATTTAGACAACAAAACGCAGTGTTTGAAAGAACTCACACTACAAGAAGAGGGGGGGAAAAAAATCCAGCAAGTTTAGTGAACATTAACTAGACTCTACAAATAGGATGAACTGACAACAAAAAACTTGAAATGAAACTTGTCTAAAATCTTTACAGACTGGAAACTGAAAAACATTTCATAATATTATGGAAATAGTATCTTGTACTTTATTTTCTAAAAAATAATAATGATCATTTTCCCCAACACAATCTCTACAGTCTCAAGACAAGAAATTGTAGCCAACTTGCAGAAAGAAATAGGTACTATAGTCTATCTATTGCAGAGTTATCCAATTTCTACACATCAATCTTGGAATCATAGAATGGTTTGGGTTGGAAGGGACCTTTTACATAAAGGTCACTTAGTTCCAACCCCCCTGAATGGACAGGGACACCTTCCACCAGACCAGGTTGCTCAAAGCCTCATTCAGCCTGGAACTGAACACCTCCAGGGATGGGGCATCCACAGCTTCTCTGGGCAACCAGTTCCAGTGCCTCACCACCCTCATTGTAAAGAATTCTTTCTTTATAGCTAACCCTAATCCACCCTCTTTCAGTTCAAAACAGTTGCCCTTTGTCCTATCTTCCCTTCTACCTCCCCAAAAGACTAAAGCCCACCCACTCTGTTTGGCTCCAAGGCAGGTCAGGACATATACAATACCTCCACCATATGGTCCCCCCATGTTCCTGCTGCCACCAAAATTTCCACTCTTCATTGGACCATAATTTGAAGGTTGTTGGTTGTAGTTTCCAAAATCATTATAGTTTCCACTTCCATAATTGCCTGCATTATCAATACAAAAGTAGAGAAATACAGAGATGAGCTAAAACACATAGAACACTCACTTGCACTAATTTACAAGTGAATTGCTTGGTCATTTCAAGCCAGTAGGTTACCTCCTCCGTAGTTGTCATAACCACCTCCATAGCCCCCACCCTGGTTGCCATATCCAGGTCCGCCTCCACCATACCCTCCTCTTCCTCCTCCGTAACCAGGACTGCCACCAAAGTTGCCACCTATGACAATATAATCCTTTAAAATAAACTTTTCAGTGTAGAAGGCAACCAAATTTTACTGGATCAGAGGATATTTTTTTGTTTACAAGTCTACAGGGGAAAAGGGTAGGAGTTGTGGAAAGAAATTTCTACGAACATTATTTTTAAAGGCACATACCAACTCCCACCCTAACTGAACTGTGAACAAAACCCACCAGTAAGACTGCCTGAAAGCCTCAATTAAAAGGCTTAATTAAAATTTTGATTTTTCAGGAAATTTAAGAAACACTGCTATTCTAGAGAAAAGAAAAGGGCACGGCTGTCCAAGAAATAGCCATACAATTTGCCATATAAACCTTTAACATGAGCAAACAGCCATGTGTGCTTCTTAAAACCAACAAAATGTCTTGGGCAATTAATATAAATCTTATACAAATGGTAAGTGAATGTAAAAATATTTCTGAATCAGAGAGAAATAACAACAGGAACCAACACCGAAAAAGTAAACTAACCTCCAGGTCCTCCACCATATCCGTTATACCCATCACCAAATCCACGACCACTTCCATATCCATCTGTTGGAGGAAAAAAAAGCCCAAAGTATTTCAATTCGACACCTGTAGCAAACTGAACTCTCAAAACCCTATGACTTTAAGGACCAAATGTCAGAGATTATTGATTAAGCACACGGACACTTGAATTTAGAAAAATATATATGAAATAACACATCCAACTACTGCTCTACATCTTCTCTTTTCTTGAATTTGTAAGGTAGCCAGTTTGAAGTTTGGACATAGCCCTTCCACTCTAATGGTCAGGGAAGTGCTACATAGAATTACAAAGGAGAAATCTCTGAATTCCATAACAAAATTAAGTTCAGGTTAATTTTGGCTTTAAAAAAAATCTTTCTTGGAAAAAAAAAAGAGAAAATAATTTAGTTTTACTGAATATCCACATAATCAACCTGTGTTCTACAGAACAGGTTTGCAAGTTATTTTTCCTAAAAATTTTCTAACTGATACAGATGCATTGAAATTAAACAGCAGTAGCTTAAAAAGCTACCATAACAAGAAAGGCAGCATAAGGGGGGCGAAAAAAAATGGAGAAGATACAAACATGCCTGTCTTACCAGCTCCCCCTCTGAAATTGCTGCCAGGTCCTGGACCAAAGTTGCCACCACCTCCACGTGCATCACCAAAACCGAAGTTCCCTGTTTAACATTTATAAGCAATTAGATCATGGAAAGTGAACACAAAAATCAACAAACCATTAACCATTACTCGTACATACCTCCTCTCCCACTCCTAGAATTTTGAACTTCCTGCATTTCCTGTCTAGAGAGAGCTTTCCTTACTTCTGCATTATGGCCATTGATGGTGTGATACTTCTGCACTGTAACGGCACGAAATAAGATATAATCAGCCTTTAAGTACTGATCTGGCAACAAATAAGATTATGAAGTAATTTCCAAAATAATCCATAAATATTCTGTATCATCATTTAAAAAACCCCAAATATCATATAATTTTTAAGCAAAGCAGCCAGTACTTATTTAAAATACATGTTCCCACACAATTCACCAAAACTATGATGTAACAAGTATTCATGCACGTAACTAACCTCATTACAAAGTGGCAGAGAAGACAACCAGCCTGGCTAAACAGAGAGCTTTTCCTGGCACTCAGGGGAAAAAAGGAGAGTCTACAATCTCTGGAAAAAGGGTCAGGCAACCCAAAAAGAGTACAGGTATCCTGACAGGTCATGCAGAGTTAAAATTAGGAAGGCAAAAGCCCAACTAGAACTCAACCTGGATGCAGTGGTAAAAGATAATAAAAAAATGTTTCTACAAATACACTAACAAAAGGAGAGCTTTGGAGAATCTCC